TCTGGTGCGATGAAGACCACGCCTACAAGCGCCTGCGAAATCCACACCAATAGAACCACTGGACCTCAGAAGAAAGAGTGCTACACTCGAAACCTAAGAAAGATTTGTGCGGCTAGAAGACACGAACGAAAACGGAAAAATGACAGATGAGTGGGAACCAAGAACACGCATCCAGAAGACCTGACCTCCTTCATGCGAGAAGCAACAAAACTACTTCAGGAGTTTGACCCATCCGAGAACAGAGAACGAATCACCAACATCAGCAGCGAACCTCCTTATTGGCAGGCAACTATTTGGCCCATGTGGAACATACAGCTCTATGACGCAGAGAGAGTTGCCATAATAAAGACCCTGGAGCAGATCACCAAGACATTTTTGAAGGCGCAGTAACACCATGGAATGTTGTTGTCTTCTCTGACTCAATGTCAGTACTCCAAGCCGTCGAGGGAGGAGACGGAACCATTCTCAGCCTTGTAGAACAGATGGGCACTACCTATGGCGTCCAGGTTACACTGCAGTGGGTGCCTGGCCATTCTGGAGTACCAGGTAATGAGACTGAAGACCAGCTATCAAAGACTGGAGCAAGCCTGCCCCAGACAGACACAGCCGCCTCTTTACAGGCCTGCAGAGGGATCATCCAAGCCAAAAGCAGAGACGAGTGGCTAAACAGATGGGCCAACGCAGAAACAGGAAGATCGCTCTTCGGGTACATGGACAAACCCAACCCCAAAGACCCATCGAATCTCTTATGTCGAGCTGATCATACTTTGATCTTCAGAGCACGCACAGGACACATACACACCAACAAGCACATAATAGAATTAGCCCCACGTGGGAACCCCATTGCAGACACTGTGACTACCACGAGGAGACCGTTGAACATCTTCTCCTTCACTGCCCAACCCTGACAGTTCTTCGACGCAGGCTTCCCCGTTTAGACGCCATAAAACCTTACTAAAACAAACTCTTCCCCTGTACTGTCTGGTATACAAGAGAGAGAGAGAGAGAGAGAGAGAGAGAGAGAGAGAGAGAGAGAGAGAGAGAGAGAGAGAGAGAGAGAGACAGACAGAGAGATGTTGCTTTTTACGTTTGTCTTACCCTGGCCATTTCCCCACATTTTGTCATATCCAGCTCCTGGGTGTTTACCTCACCTCTGATAGTACCTCTGTAGCTGCCAATTGGTCTCTCTCTTCTTTTTTTTCATTTAGTATCTAGATGTCTAGTACCATTCGGCCTACGGTTAACAACTTGGAGAGGGATGAGCACCGCCCAAGACACACCACATGAGAATGACAAACAGCTCAGACACTATACTACAGAGGACAAAAATAGATGGCGAGAGCTGGTTTTCAGATGCAGTGGTGCACCCACGGTTGGCCCAACCACGGGATAGAAGAAGAAGACCATTCTGAATAGGGCTATCTTGTCTGTGGCATTGTCAAATAATATCCTAAATAATAATGTCCATTTTCTCCTTTTTGTGGTTGCATGTTTGTATTGATGTTTTCCATCCTATCTCTTTCCACTCCTTGATAAAATTAACAATGCACGTTTTATTGTTAGGGCAGAAGGCCTTATATGATTAATTGACAACAATTATATTACTTGTGGATAAATTATGAAAGAATGAACTAATCACTAATAATGACCTTTCATCTCAACTGCGCCTGGTATAACAAAACAGGAAGACAAGCTTTAAGTTGCCACGATAGACGAAATAGAAATATTGATGTAATGCACGGAATACATGTACAAATGTATGAATTATTCATAAACCTGAGTGCAACTACGCAATCTTTACTCAACACGCTTCTGTGTTCTGTAGAGAGTGCAGTGTAGAGCCCAGATTCTTTTCTCCTTGCTACTTTAGGATAATTTTGGTATCGGATTCAAAATACCGTTGGGGAAATTTAATTTGTTTCGCTTGATACAAACACTGTTAGTCTTTGATGTGTGCAGTGTGTGTATGTGTGTGTGTGTGTGTGTGTGTGTGTGTGTGTGTGTGTGTGTGTGTGTGTGTGTGTGCGGGCATGTCTGAATGAGAGATAGAGAATGAGAATGTGTGCATATGCGTTCGCAAGAGTTTGTGTGTGCATGCGTGTGTGTATGCATGTTTGAGTGTGTATTTATGCGTGCGCTCGCGCCCGAGTGTGTGTGTGTGGGTGTGTGTGTATGTGTGCAAATAAATGATCGTATTATGCATTGTATGTGTTTTTAATATCTATCATAGGTACAATGTTACTATTACTCGGAAGAATAAACGTATGAAAAATAGAGAAGAGAAAGCAAGGGTTTATTCAACAGCTAAGTAAAAAAAAAATGCTGCAGCAAGTTTATTGGATATACTATTTATTTTTAATTTTTTTGGTAAGTGTTTTACGGTGCTCGCAACTGCATAAGATCATATGAGCGCGCGGAAGCCTACTCTTATCTATTCTGGACCACCAAAGGATCTTTAAAGTGCGCCACTTGCACACAGGCCCCCCAAGATTTTCCCCCCTTGTCCGAGAAGGCTAGGTGTTGATCTTTCCTACAAGAAGATCAAGGGTGTGGCTGAAAGACAGCAGTAAGAAGGAGCCAAGGAGAAGCAGCGGAAAGGTTGTAGAAAGAGTCGGGAGCCCAGAGGAGGGGGCAAAGGAGGTGAGGTGTTGGGGGCAGAAAATGGAGACGAAAGCAGACCACAGAGCTTTGCTAGAGAGCAGGAAAGAGGGGGAAAGGAGAACATTTTAGAAAAGAGAATGTTTCCGTCTCTACTCGGATTCGAACATGGAACCTTTGAATGAGAGGCGAACACCTTAACCTATAGGCCACGAGAGCCCCACTTACTATTTGAAGAAAAACAATTTTAACACTTCGCGAGATATTTCTAAAATGTTTGACCTAGAAAAAGCTCCGGGAGAAAACGCATATGATTTTTTTAAACGAAAAGAAAGTGGAAAAAAAATAAAATTATGTGAAACCCAACCACATGTTTGCTTGTTCCATGGGACGGAATTAAATAAAATGTAGCAGCTGATGAATGCGCTTGTGAATATTTCATCAACCGAAAACATATTACCGGCTCTGGACATTTTTGAAAAAATATTATGTTAAGGTTTCCATAGATTAAAAAAAAATATGTTTAATTAAAAATATGATGTAGACGGAAGAGAAAAGAAGACTACAAATGTTTCTTTCTTTTTTTTTCTTTTTTTTTTTCCTTTTTTTTCGAGATAGAGAACTGAGCGGAGACAATTCAGAAACAACACATGGTAAACAAAACTGAGTTGAGCAAGTGGTAAGTGTCAAAAGGTGTGGGTTCAAAAACCTCCACAGCTGATGCATATTTTTGCTGTCTTTGAGATTAATATTAATATTGACATTCACTGTTTTTCTCAATTATTTGTAGAAATTATTTTGAGGGTTAAACATGAGCCTAAACCTCTGCCTGCTCCCAAAATCACAAAGCAAAACTTCAAAATTACAAGAAAATGTTTCAGTGTACGAAAAAGTCCAAGCAAATTCTGAATGCCCTCGGACTGGACAAAGCTTTCCCGATTTGGCACTCGCAAGAATGCGTGAATATAATACTGTGTGTGCGCGTGTGTGTGTGTGTGTGTATGAGTGAGTGTCTGTGTGTATGTGTGTGTGAGTGTGTCTGTGTGTGTATTTGTATGTATATATATATATATATATATATATAGGCACAGATGTATGTATGTAAGTGCATAAACCTGTGTGCGTGTGTGTGCGCATATAATTTGTGTGTGCGTGTATGTGTGAGTATGTGTGTTTATGTGTGTCTTTCTGTGCCTGTGTGCGCGGTTCAGAGTGGTAATATTGTGGAGATTTTCTAATAATGAAGACAAACCTACGAACAAAAGAGAAGCGGGGAACAAGTCGTGGGCCTTGATTGCGCAAACGACCTCAGGAAAGTATTACGTGGCATTCTAGAAAAGACAAAAAAGAGTTTGCCCGATTAACGTAATTTGGAAGAGATGAAGACAAACAGGCTATAGAAAAAGAAATGACGCGCGGATAAATTACATCAATAAAGGACAAATTAGTTATGCGTCATTGGAAAAAAAAGGAAGAGGAAGCGGAACATTCAGAATACAACGCACTTAATCAACAAATAAAACCTAGTAAATTATAGCACAAAACTAGCCTCTAGAGAAAAACCCTTTTGTGGATATGTAGATACAACCTGAACGACTGGTGCTTACAAAAACAATTGATTTACAGTTATCGTCCGCCTATATTGAATTGCAATATTGGCAGTAAGTAATTGCAGCCCAGGGTGTACTAGGATACAACATTGTCACTTATTGTGTGAACGTTTGGGATACGTTCTCAGTATTTACTCGTCATGTCTTGACCTTATAATATATAAAATATATAAATATATATAATATATATATTATATATATACATGTATATTATGTATATAATATATTATATATACATATGTGCTTGTGTGTGTGTGTGTGTGTGTGTGTGTGTGTGTGTGTGTGTGTGTGTGTGTGTGTGTGTGTGTGTGTGTATGTGTGTGTGTGTGTGTGTGTGAGTGTGTGTTATTTATTGCTGTTGGACGCTTCGCTGACGCAAACAGGAGACCCGACCGAGTTTCATTCTCGAACAGAAAGAATTAATATTTATGAGTGTTTTTGGTATTTCTGCTGTTGGGGTGTTTTATCACTCTCAGCCCCGGCTGACCCAATGAAAAGCATCGAAAAGTACTCACTCAAGTGACTTCGGTTTTTTGTTGAAGAGCTGCAGTTCACCCACAGTCCATGAATTGCAAGGGCCATGGACCAAAGAAACAACCAAGAAGACGACGAAGAAGCTGACCGCACTTTCACAAAACAGTTTGCTGTTACTGTTCAACAAAAGTCTCAAGATACTTATTTTTACCACGTTCTCCACCAGTAGTTTTTAGATGTGGGTATGGAAGTTGAGTCTGTGTATGAATGTGTGTGTGTGTTTTTTGTGTGTATGTCTTTGCGTCTGTGTTGTTGTTGTTGTTGTTGTTGTTGTTGTTGTTGTTGTTGTTGTTGATGTAGTTGTTGTTGTTGTTTAATTAAAATTAATCTCAAAACATGCATGTGTGTGGTTGGTCGGTGCTCTGGTGTGGTTTGCTCCTTCTTTCTTATCAAACATCTATCGTCCTGATCTCTCCTCTTTCTTTTTTGTTTTGTTACTCTCTTGTAACAACTCTAATCACAGCCCAGTCACAAATCTCACGCCAATTGAGCCCTTGCTTTAGATTGCGCAATTTGTGCTCAATTGGGGTGAAATTTGTGACTGGGCTGACCATGGGTGCAGGGTAAGAATGTCGTTAGCTGTGAGACATTGATCTGTCACAGCAGCTTTATGCGCTAGTGTATTATTATTCACGGATGTGTGTCCTTGGGATTTGTTTGAAAGACAGGTACAAAATAAAGCTCGAGAATTTGGTTGATGTAGCGTTGAGCAGTTAGATTCCCACGAACAGACGCAAGTGCAGTCTTGCCAGCACTGCTGATTCCAACCCGCACAATGACGCTACCTCCAACAAATTATTTGCTTGTCTGATACAAGCTGAGTTTTACCGTTGGTTGGGTTTTCTGTAGTCTTTTGCCCATCCATCGTGCCGTACCAGTTGAAATTGGGACTCATCTGAAAAAATGTACTTATTTCAAATACAACGTGGCCTTCCAAGCTATGCTGTACTGTGCCCAGTGAAGTCTGTGGAGGACGTGAAAGGGTTTCAGTTTTATGCGATAAACTAGACACGTAGCGTCATGTATCGCCGTTTTCAAACGACAAAGAACAGTCAGGACAAAGACCGGATTATCATTTCTAACTCTGCTCGACTCATGTTGGGTCTGTGTTGCCGTTTGAACTCGAATTCTCGACTGTTGCATGCGGACGATTTTCTCGGTTTTCTCTTACAGCGTCCTGCTCGTTTTGAGTCTGTCATTTGGAAGCCTATTGTTACCTAGCGATCTTGTGTCGCATTTACAATGTGTCTGCTCACGTTGAACCTGCTCGTGAATGATAAAATCGGAGTGCCCACCTGTAGCGTTTCAATAATTTGATTTCTTTTTCATCCATTCAGCCGAAGCGTAGTGAATCAATAAAGAGAGAACCTTTTGAAGTAACGAACAATTTGAAAGGAGTCCAATCTCACGTGTGAAATTTTTGTTTTCAAAGTTACCCACATTTTTTCATATTTATTTTTACAAAATGTTGAAACTACGTGAATGACATCGTCAGACAAAACGATAGACCAGTGCACCTTAGTGAGTACAGTGCACGAACGGCAATGAGCAATAGTGAATAATTGGATATAAGTTTTTGAGTTACATACTCTTCACATATGTTAAATTAATAAGGATAAAGTGCATAATATTTTCACAACGGTTATTATCATTGGGACATATACAGTGGGACGTCTTGAACACAAGTGAAACACCCGCAGGGACATCGATGTTTGGGGGGGGGGGGCTAGTAAAACTGGGTTATTTCTTCACGCCTCCGTTTAAAGACTTATTTGCAGATATAAACTTTGCTTTTGTATGTTTAAAGAGACATTTAATGTCAGAGCTCTATATACCAACAGCAGAATCTCGGTAAGAACGAAGGAAGGCAATACAGACTGGTTCAAAGTAAGATCTGGAGTACGATACGGATGCATTCTATCTCCCCTCCTGTTTATAATATATATATGGACACAATAACACAAGAACCAAACCAAAGCCCAGAAAGCGTAAATGAATTTCTGTTCGCAGACGACTAATGTCTTATTCATCATAACCAACAAAGCCTCCAAAATCATACTACTGAACTCAACAACACTTGTGAGAAATTCAAATGAAAATAAGCACATCAAAAACAAAAGTTTTGATAGTCAGCCGAAACCATAGTCCCCTGAGCATCCATGTCAATAGTAAACAACTGAAACAGGTGAAGGAGTTTAAATATCTTGGCAGCACTTTTTCTGAAAACGGGTCCATAGACAGAGAAATAGAAATGCGAACTCAAAATGCCAACGCTGTCACCTACCAGCCCGCACCCCTTCTATCTCATTCAAACATCTCCATGGACACAAAGAGACAGCTTGTCACCTCAATATTCATACCAACATTATGTTATCAGTGCCAGACCTGGACCTTAAGCAAAACCCATGAAAGCAAAATCCCTGCTTGCGAAATGAAATGCCTCACAACTGAAAGAGCTGCGGAGCTGGCCTGCCATATAAGGCTGCATCTCCCCTTGACGCTTGACGCCAACAGAGGATGAAAAAGTAAAAGTAAAGTAAATAAAAGGACATTTGGCCCAACTGAAGCCATTCTATACATTTTCTGCTGTAAGTAAAGAACGTAATCCATAGATAGAACGGTGTGTTGACAGAAGAAAAAACGTTTCATATTTTATGACGCATTTTCAAAGAGGGAAAAAAATTGACGTTTTCTTGGATTTTACCTTGAAGCCTCCAGGACAGGAGGATCTCGTAAACAACTACGTCACTTCTCCAGACTAGCTTTTACTGCTGATTGAAATAGATGCCGCACCCTGAACGCCATAGACACTCGCCGCAGGACCTAATGGCTATAATAAGTTCGCTGTCATGGAGGGGGTCTCCCCTGAGCAGGCCTTCCTGACCTGCAGAATTTCTCTTTTCATACACCGACTTTGCACTTGAAGAAACCGCTCACCCAGGTGTGGGACTGTGTTAATTATACTGTTGTTTACTCCCCCGTCGATGCAAACTATTTAAAATCATTCTCGACCCAGAAAATTTAGAGCCAAAACGGGCTGAGTAGGTTACAGTATTCCAGCTAACGGAAAGTGATACTCGACCCCAAACCTCCCCAGTCGGGAACGGAACTCACGTCTTTCGTTTTCGAAGGCCAAGATTCTAAACACTGCACCTCTGACGTTGGTCAATGGGCGTTTAAAAATGGTAAAACGTGTGTTTCAAAGAAAAAGTATTCTATTTCCTCTTATGTACGCGAATATAAAAATGAAACGACACTATTACATTAAAAAACGCAAACACTCGTAGATCTTTGGATATGTGTCTCCCTTGGGGCATGTCAAGAAAGTCAGGATTTCGAAGAGAGAGAACGAGTAGCTTACTTGTGCAGTTTACTTCCTCTGTGTCTGTCTGTTTATATACGCAAAAGGGCATCCAGATCTTTGTTAGTTCTTTGACAACGCATGCTAGAAATAGCCCTTTATTATCGAAGTGCAAAATATGAAACCAATAATTTACAGATTTGGCTGATCATTACGAGTACGGTCAGGCAGATTTTTTTCTATATTAAAAGAAACTGTAATTACACTATTTGCTAGCTTAAAGACTTAACCTAACGTGAACTTCTAGAAAAGTACTTTCTGGTCAGTAAATTCTTAAAAACACAAGCTCAAATTTGTGAGGTAGTTAAAAATTATCATGGCGTTGATCAACGTAAGATGATTCGAGTTGGATCCACACTGTCCTCGTCTTTCGTGGGATATTTCCTGTAGCAGTGGGTTCTTGTCTGGGACTAGGGGCTCCCAGGGGTGCCGCCTTTGAACAGCGCCGCTGCGTGCTCAGGTGTAAGTGCAAGTTTTTTACGTCCCCGAAGTCACAATTTAGGTTATCAGGAGGGAGGGGCTACTTTGAGCCTTCTTGTTAAGGCCAATCCGGGCTTATTTTAGTTTTGGGTTTTATTATTTAGGTCGGGTTTTACTGCACTTGCCACCCAATAAGGTCATATAAGTGCCGAAGATTAGAGGTTTTACAAGAGAGAAAGAAACAAAACAAAGTAAGAGGAGAGAACAAGCCCATAGACGTTTGATAGGAAAGAAGGAGCAAACCACACCAGATAAACCGTCGACCTCCCACCAACTACCCGCTCGGGCTATTTGTTATATACTATCTCTTCGGTCAGATGGAGTTACTCCACCAAAAAAAAACCGTTTCCCACACCAGAATGTAATTCCCATTTTTGTGCGTGTAACATTGAAGAGTCTGATTGTTACACGGCAGGCGCCGGTGTGTTTAGTATTTGTGTTGTTACCTTGTGGTCATGAAAAAAACAAAAGAAAACAAAGAGAAAGTTCCTAATAAATCGACCTTCCACCCCTCACCTCCTTTGGCTCCAAAATCGATAATAGTAGGCTTCGGTCTCCACCCGGGCAAAAATTCAAAATTTCCTACCAACTGAAAATGTGTAATGTGTCCAACGTACTCATATGCAGTTGCGAGCGTTGTACGACACTTACCAAAACAACACACAAAAAAACGACCTTCCCACAATGGCTTTATGCACTCATCATTTTTCACAATGAAAACGAATCCCGTATTGCATTCTGTTGTCTAAAGGTTAAGCTTTTCTTCGCAAACTGCAGCCGTGAATTTGATTGGCGTGTGGGAAATTCTTTGATCAGGTATCTTCATCCGTCTACTGGGACATTTTATCTATCTCAGCTCGGGTTAACCCGAGAGCCGGAATGAAGAGCCAGATTCATAGCAGCCTGCCCGCTAAATGATCTAAATTGTGTGATCTGGTTGTGCAATATTTGCAATTTCTATGACAATGGATCACATTTTGATACGAGTTTGGAGCCCATAATAAGACACAATTGGATCATTCTGATGCTTGTTACAGAATCCTAGGAATGGGATTTTCTGCTTGGTTCCCATCCTCGACGGACAGATATGCTTGAAGAGGGAGTTGAGAAATAAGTGAGTAAGCATAGAGAAGGGATGGCAACTGTACGTCCTTGGAGTTGTGGTGTACAGGTGGCACCCTAACGGCGGGGCTATCGCGACTCTCTTGGTGGGCAGCACACTAATTTACACACACATGTCTGCACGTGGGGAAGCAAAGCATTTTATCATAATAACAGACTGTTCAAGGCTTGCCCACACACATACCCCTCACGCGCCCCCTCTTTAACGCTTACTTCTAACTCTTTTCGCATAAGCAACGCTTGTTTGTTTATACTCACGCAGGTGTGCTCAATACGCACGAAAGCCCTCAATACTGCTCTACATTCACATTCTTCATTGCGTTTGGGTTATCTTACACAAAACATGCCATAATGTCTTCCAAAGCAATAAAAACCTACCCATTTTAGTACATGAATGTTCCCATAGTTGCTAACATCACGGTGGTCTTTATTTTTTTAATCATCCGATCCTTTTAAAGCAGTTTTGCTCAAGTTTTGTGCTGATTCGTACTCAGGCCCTAGACCCTGGCTGGGAATATGATAATGGTCCACCTGGGTATAGAGTTAGAGGGAATGAAACGCACAGACAAAGCGGGTGCGGCCGGGGGGGGGGGCATAATATCTGCATGGCGATTATACATTGCACTCCAGAACTGACTGCTGGCACGAACAGTCGGCTACCTGTGGCTGTCATCAGGCTGCTTACCTAATCAAAGCAAGCGCGCTCACACAAACACACACACACACGCGCGCGCGCGCGCGCACGCACACAAACACACGCACGCACGCATACACGCACGTACGCATGCATGTAAACACAACTTATAAAGAAATCCAACTAACCAAAGAAATGTGGTCGATCCAGGTCAGCCCATGCCAGTCCAATAGTCTCTCTTATGTGCTAAAGTCAATCTCTATGAATTAGCATAAATAATATAATTCTCTGAGCGGAGAAATTATTTTTAAAATTATTGTCTCTATCGCAAAAGTATCAATATGTTTAAATTTTACTTGTTGCCTACAGGGCACGTCACGCAAACTCTTGTGCAGCATGTCGATGTGAAATTAAAGTAGCACAACCAAAGTTCTTTTCAACAGGGCATGGTTGCTGAAAGTTTAGGGTTTAGGGTTGAGACCTTCGAAAAATGGAAGTGGGTGAGATGTCATTGATGATGCTTTGGTTGCTTTACTAGTAGGTCCGAAGCTACTTATCTACTATCTCTCTTTTCTTTTTCTTTTGTCTTGCTTTTAAGCAGCACTAAATCGCCGTAACTGTGTCAATGGGCTTGAACTTAGAGTAACAGACTGAATCACCTTTCATCCTTACTAGTTATTGAAAAGATAGTTGAATGTATCATGTAGCCTATCTTCGTTATAAGCACAAAATAGAATACTAATGTATCTTCAGCTGCTAAATTCCGAAAGATTTTGGAAGTGAATGCTAATCATTGAATTGCTCCAAAGAAACTTTGAATTATTCAAGACTTTACATAAAGGACTTCAAATAAAAGCATAGTTTTTGGCTGATGTCTGAGTACAGTGTGGTTTCGTGTAAATGCTTAATATATCTTTTAACTTGGCCCTAGAAATCTACATACTTTGCTGTTCCCTAGATAGAGAAAAGAAAAGAAAAAAATATCCGCGCAGTAGCTCTATATAAAAACTCAGTGAAAAGACGAAGAAAGACTACCCTTTTAATTTCAGAATTCAACTCTTGCTTTTTCTCAGGATTAGCAATTTGAAGGCGGCAAAGGTTGGAAGTTGTCATATTATTATTGCGATACGAAATAAACGCTCACATGTGATAGTCATTAACAAATTCAATCTGTTTCTTGAAATCTTTGTGGGTATTTGGTGGTTGTTTTCTTTTTTGGTTTATTATTTTTAAGAGATTCATCCTCCAAATGTTGTAAATAAAATATTATGACATTTAATTAGCGTACAATCATAGCTTACAATTGTCTCAATTCAACTCACGCATGTGTATGGCCACTCGAATTCAGAAATTACGTCCTGGTACACAGGTCGTTAGACCACCAACACAACATTTCTCAGGACGTTTCCTTTCACCATTAACAGATTGGAAGAGTTTGGAAAGCAGCATCCGTAACCAGCGCGATGACATAATTTGAGGGTGAAGATGAAGGACCAGCTGGGCGGATAAGTCTTGTAATTCCAAAGCACAGTTACTCCATAATCAACGGCCAGTTTCGCAAACTACCGCATGGCTAGTTTTCCACCAGTGCAGCCCCCACGTTCATCAGCGCGCCATTCACGCGCACCCATGGGCTGGCTGCGTGCCACTCGCTCACGCACTCTCGCCCCGCTGTGAACACTGAAATGCCAGTCTTCAGGGTGAGGAAGTTTCTTGTTATTAGATCGGGGCGCGTGCCACAGATTTATTCTTTAAAGGCACTCCTCCTTCAGGAAAGTTAGCGTATTTCTTCAATTTTTGGCAAGATATCAACTTGGTACTTTGTTCTTTTGTTGACAATAATCGCACTACTGAATACGTCATGATTTATTTTGGAGGTAGTTTATTTATTAGAACAAATTCCCATTACTGAAGCGTCTTTCCTCCCCCTGTCCCTCATTACACCCCCCCCCCCTACTTTTTCCTCTTTACTCCAAGTCTATTTTTCAGATTACAGTTTTGAGTTTGCTTATTTCTTCTTGTGAGTGCAGTCACACATCATCTGAAAAGCTATTTTTTCCTTCTTCGTTCACTTTCTCTTTTTTAAGTAAGAAAATGTGTGTGTTTGTGTGTGCGTGCATGTGTGTGTGTGTGTGTGTGTGTGTGTGTGTTTGTTTGTGTGTATGTGTGTGTGTGTGTGTGTGTGTGTGTGTACATTTGCGTTGTATGTTGTACGGGTTTTGTTTTGTTTTGTTTTGTTTTTTGGTTTTGTTTTTTCTCTATTTCCTTCTTCTGGGTTGGGGAAGGGCTGTGAGAAGGCCTAGAGATTGCCGGAAGATTATGGTGAAATATGAGCTCATCTTTCAATATTCGAAGAAATAAAAACTCCCTAGCCTGAAGATTGAATCTGAAATTTAGGTGGCAGACTAAATAAGACCTTCAGCCATAATAAATTGAACTGGGAACTTTTGCTTTGTTTTGTGGAAAACTAAAAACGGCGTTCTGAACGGGGATTGTCTTGTAAAGTTTCATCCATTTGGCTTGTTTCTATTGGAGAGAGAGAGAGAGAGAGAGAGAGAGAGAGAGAGAGAGAGAGAGAGAGAGAGAGAGAGAGAGGGGGAGGAAGAGAGAGAGAGAGAGAGAGAGAGAGAGAGAGAGAGAGAGAGAAAAGAATGAAGAATAACCTTCCTATACCACCATTGTTGGCGTCGGTGGCCTTGTGGTTAGGCTCTCGGACTCGCAACCGTAAGGTCGTGGGTTCGAATCCCGTCAGGGGCCCGACGTTGTGTCCTTGGTAAAGGCACTTGGCACAAAGTTTCCTCACTTCACCCAGGTGGAAATGGGTACCCGGCTATAGACAGTGAAAGATCTTGTCAGTTTGATAGTGTTTGAGCGCGTGAAATCCGCAGCTTGCACTGTATGTTTCCGCGGAAGCTGAGAATGTTTCTGAGTGTTCTCAGAGGGTCTGCTGGGGTAATAATAGTTGTAAAGCGCATAGAGCATGCTCTTGAGCATGGATATGCGCTATACAAATGCAATCATTATTTATTATTATTATTACCATCGAACCTACCACAATCCAATCTGCGTGGAATACATCTTGGAAGAGAGACGCGAGTGAATAAAGAAAAACAATAGCAATAACAAACCAAAACAGGATTTTTAAAAAAGCAATACAAAACATGAAACAAGAGAACTAGAGTGAATTGAACCCGTCTTTAGAGTGCAAGGGCAATTAGTCTAACAGTTACGTCTCGGTAGCCGGCCAGTCACTTTTCATACGAACGAGGCCAATGGCAAGGACTCACTGCATTGACTTTACAACAACAACAAAATGTGTCCAGGTCATTATCAGAGGTCGGTCGCATGGTTGAATAGTCTGAGTAAATAAACACTCAGGAGCACATTATGTTCTGTGTGTCTTTCTGTCTGTTTATTTGTTTGTATGTTTGTATGCTTGCTATACTCTCTCTCTTTCTTTCTTTCTCTCTCTCTCTCTCTCTCTCTCTCTCTTTCTCTCTCTCTCTTTCTCTCTCTCTTTCTCTCTCTCTTTCTCTCTCTCTCTTTTTCTCTCTCTCTCTCTCTCGCTCTCTCTCTTTCTCTATCACTATCTTTCTTTCTCGCTTATTCTCTCTCTTTCTTTATTTCTCACTCACTCTCTCTTTCTTTCTCTCTCTCTATCTATCTGTCTCTCTCCTTTCACATTTTTTTCTCTCTTCTCCACATCTGCCCACTCCTTCCTCGACTGGAAAGCATTATCTGAAATCACACAAAAGCACATAAAATTTACCTTGCAAAAACAATTATATGAAATATGAAAGCGTTTAAAGAGAATAATACGTCTTTACATGGCAGACTACGATGTGGGGGTACTCACACGACAACGTACAATAAATGTTGTGATTATTAAAGATGCCAATTTTTTTGGGGGTGAGTATTTTACGGCGCTCGCAACTGCATAAGGTCATATGAGCGCACGGGACACACCAAACATTAATTCAATCGGTAGGAAATTTTGAATTTTGCCCGGGTAGCGGCCGAAGCCTATTCTTATCGAATACCAACTTTACTTTAGGACACAATAGGGGTCAATGACTAAGACTTTCAGATTAAATACTAATTATTCTACCAAAGTATAAATAATTCTGCTGATGGGGCAATGGAATAAATGTTACATGTAACTGTCTGTGTTTTACGCTTCCATCAACACGATTTCGATCATAAAAGGAGGCGGGGTGCTTTGACCCTGCCTTTCAGGGCCAGACATGGCCGAGAGGAACACAACGTCCAAGCAGACAAATATAGGTGGCCGATCTAAAAACACAGACAAAAAAACCTTCTCACCCACTCAAAATATTCAAATCTCGTCTTTTAGCCTGTGAAGGCGAAGCGCTCACCCCAGAAGCAGGTTCTATTCAGCCTCCGCGTGGACCAAAAAATAATTATCTTTAGTTGAATTCTTAGCCCGTTTAATTAAAATGGCCCTTCAAAGGGTGATGAGAAAAAGAACAATCTAAAATGTAATGTTTTAATTGTCGCTAAGCATTACTCAATATCTTTGGTTCACGCTACAAATCTGCTTCTGCACCTGTCCTATTCTAAAATAAAAGTAAATTGGACAATTATCTAAAGTTTTCTATTGCGTCCAGTGACACCAAAACAGTGGTTTTTCATATAATCTATAATTATGTTTCCTATCGTTCATTCAAAGGAAGAAAGAGATCAGTCGCTACTTTAGAATTACAAAGTTGTATCTGACATTTTGGCCGTTTGGAGTTACCACGACCACGAGGTCAGTAACCAAATATGTTCTTTCTGCTCTATCAGAATTGTCTGATAAATTGGAGTCCTTATCAAAATATTCAAAGAATTGATTTTTTAAAAAGATTGACATGTTGCGAAACTCAAAAAATTGTTACGTCAAATTTCTTTAAAACTAGAAACTGAGGAGATAGAACTTTGTAATTCTAGGGTAGTGTATCGGCAGCCAAGATTGGAGACATACAGCATCATATTATTACCCATTGAAGTGGGTCCCCAGATACAAAAAACAATATTAAAGGTCAGACAGTAGAATAATAAGCCCCCCCCCCCCTCGTGTGTTGTACCCTTTCCTTTATTATTTCACTACACTAGAAGGAGAAGCCAGAACTGAATCGTACATCGGCAATCATGGTCCGTTACACATTTCTCTTCTAGGATGCTCAAAAAACGTTATTATTCTGGTCTTATAGTGACAAAACTCCATTCAAGTTGCAGTTCGCTACCTTAGAATTACAAAGTTTTAGCTACTCAATACCCAGTTTTGAGAAATTTGGCATCAACAGTTTTGAGTCTCACAATAATAATATTATATCAAGCCTTTTTGAATGCAATTCTTTGAATATCGTAATAACGCCTCCGAAAATTCTTACCTTTTTTACAGGGCAGATAGAAAATTTGCTTTCTGACTTCATGGTCTTAGTAACTCAAGACAGCCAAAAATGTCAGATAGAACTTTGTAATTCTGAGGTACCGAGTTGTCTATGTATTATTTTTTCATTGCTGACATCTGCTTGTGTTTTTCGCTATCTATTGTTCTAGAGAAAGCAACATGTTCCAGGCTTTTATTTCGATTCAAGTGTCTAACAGCTTCATTAACTTGATAACCTTATTGGGTATTTTGTTGTTGTTTATGGCTGTCGTATGCTGATGTCCTTTAACACTGCCCCATTTGACTTCTTTTGTTTTTGTGTGTGTCATGAAATGCAACTGTCACCAAATAAAACACGTTTCTGTTTGTTTAATTCATTTTCAATATCTTTGGAAACTCGCAGCATTCAGAGAAGGGTTGACGACATAATAAATTATATATTTTTAAAATCCGTATCTAAATTTTCATCGAGCCCTATCATCGAATGCTATTCTAATGTTCTGTTCTGCTTTGTCTTCTTAATTCTATCATTTTATCTTTAATTATACCAGAGTTATTAGAAATGGCCTAGATGTGTTTAAAAAATGATGAACCCTAGAAGAAAAACAGTTTATCAATAGAAAATTTCCCTGTGTCATTTGATGATCGCTGCATCAACATTACTCGTAATCTTTTATCTTCATAGGCTTTCATCAACTAGTGATGTTGACCGCAAAAAGACGCACAAACTCCACTAGAATCGATGACGATTCTCACAGAGACCATAATGGCAGAGCGCGCACAGCTAACTCAGTCATCGCCATGACCTTTAGCGCCCTCAGAATGACAGGGTGATAACTTCATGACGTATAGTTTTGAGAAAATGAAGTCCAACGATTCGCACCCTTACAGCTAAAATGATTTTATACCTTAATCAGCGTCAAACTGAGAAACGATTGATCAGGATTGGCGTGGGTTTTTGGCACTGTGTTCTGAAGATCTCTAGGTGTCGTGCGAAACCAAGTTTACTCAAAAAATGAAGTCAGATCTCTATCATTCCAAGAGTGCCCTTTGTGTCTTCTTTCTTGTTCTGGTTTAGAGATCTGCTTGAAGATAGCCATGAAAGCAGCAGTAATGCCAAAATAGAAGCAACAAATCGTATTTGCTTGTTCATGCTTCCGATCTCAAGTAATGCTCTTATAAACTATCTGACATGCTAATGCCCTTATAGTACTGTATGTTGGCTTTTGAATCTACAGAGGCTCCGAACCGCAGAACACATCGATTTCCAACATATGAGTTTTTTTCCAGATTGTTTCAAACATTTTTTGGAAAATCACAGAAGCATTTTATTTTTACTGACCCTTTACCAGCATAATTATTATAATTCGTCCGTCTTGAACTAAAATAGACCTTTAAAATCAAAAGAGATAGAAAAGTTATAGATCTTTCCTGCGACCACACGTAGCTAGGATGGTAAGAAGAGAAAGGTAAAGGAAATAATAGCTTGCAGTCGAATAGTACTGAACACAAGAGCCATAACTCCTCAAACACCACCTTTCCCTTTCCTATATTGCTGCACTTATCTGCCATAAACATGGTCATTTCGTTAAATCTTCTGTTGGCTTCGCTTTATCATGAGAGTCACTTGATGCAGATTGAGGATAGCGTTCTTCATTGCTAAATTAATGAGAATACAGGAGCTGCAGTCTCTTATCTTCGTGCAGTGTTGTACATGTATCTTAAATTTTCACAACAGGAAGCCCGCAATATGCGTATACTACACTAACTACAATATGTATCTTGATCGTGCATGTATTAATGTTTTCAATGTCATTTTGCATCGACATGAGAAACAATTCCAGCTAAACAAATGCAAGAATATATATTTCAGGAGAATTACTTTTATAATATACATGCCAGACCATGTACCAGACTATCATTGCTTGCTTCGAAACGAAGGAAAACAAGTTGAATGACTTACATACAACACCTTTCGACGAGGGGATAAAATTATTTCAATATAGAATTATTAGAGTCCAATTCATGAAGTCCGAGCTGAGGGTTATTTTGTACCAACTTCAGTGTCCGACGTTTACGGGTTCCAGGCTGTTGAAAATCTTCCCCTCAAGCCAAATATTTCTACGGTTAATGCCCGTGCACCGAAGCATTTCAGTTTACATTCGCATTAGCTCCTTTTGTAACGACTGAGGTAGACACTGGTGCCAAAACAGGGGGAAAATTTAGTATGTACAAGATAGTACCCAGCAAACGAAAAGTCTACGTTTGAAATCCCAGACGTGACTGCGGATAACGATTGTCGGAGGAATTTGCCTCTCCGCGGGTAGGTAAACGCAGCCATTGGTCTTGCTTTGAAAACAAGCACACCGTTCTTTTGGTAATTTCTCTTTCTGGATCGAAGAGACAAAAGCCATGGCTACGTTCAGAGGAGGAGGATCGATGAATGATTCTACAGGAATGATATTATATCACGGATCTGACTGACAGAGACATGCTTTCCAAGTTTTTTTTCGTTATCTATTTTCTGTTTGTTCTAAATGTACCGGCGTCTGTGCTGAAGCGGTCATGCTCTTTGCCGTAGCACTCTGAAAACATAAGTTCGATACCCATGAGGGAAGAATATTCATCGACTATCTCCGTCGGTCTATTGGGATATTGTGCAGCCAGGATTGACCCTCACAGACGGGACCAATGCAGTCCGCCTCCCGAACGTTCTAAAATATGTCAATGAGGACTTAAAAGACCAAATAATCAAATTCAAGAATGCCCTGTAAAGGATTTGAACTAGTGTAATCGGCATCATAGTCCAGTATGATGCCACCTGAGCTGTTCAGGAAGTATACATATTATTCTTAAACAACGAATTGACATTTCTAGAAAACTTCCGGTTCGTGCAAACTAAATGTTTAATGATTTATTTCAAATACCGTGCAGCGATTAGATATGAGCTAAAGAGAACTCATTAGTATATTTTTGTTATGCTACGACTTTGGCAAAGTCAATCCCACGAGATATTCAGATATGAAAGAGCATGGCCTTAACAAGGATTTGCTTAACAAACATCAGCACAGAATCGTTGGCTTCGCATAAAAAGTTTTGACAGCGGGCATTGTGAATAACGGAACGATATGAACGCCATTACCATGTTTTGTTTGATTCAACCGAGAACTCGGTAATTAAGGGATCTTGCAACTATAAAGC